CATGGAATTTTTAATGTGTCATGGTTCGGTTAAGTATCGCAAAGCACCAATTAAAAAATATTTATATCTCCGAAAAATATGTTTTTCCTGATATAGGTGTTTGCCTGCCTCGTGTATACAACTTATAAAAAAGTTCTAGCCGAATTTTAATTATGAAGTTAAAAAAGGTATACGATTTGTAAAATAATGGCCCATTGGCATAAAACAAGAACATATTTCATGAAATGTCTAAACAAATTTTGCGAAAAGCTATTGAAACCCTTTACAGAAGCCACGCATCGTACGTCTCTAAAAGCCTTGCCAGGCAACCCAGGGTTAAGATTTTTTCTGTAAAGCAACATATAGATGGTATAATGATGGTGAAAACAATAAGTTAACATTTGTATGACGTTATTATTTTATTTTCTATGGTTGTAACTTTCAAAAATCAACCAATATTAATTACCCTGTAGGGGAAATCTCAAGACTTGGATCTATATACCGTTTTTCCAAATGAAGTCATTTTCCTAAAATATTTAATTTTTTTGAGAAAAAAATCAAACTTTAACAAGGAAAGAAATTTAAAAATAACATATCTTTTGTAAATATTAAAGTCTTGTCTTTTTCAAAACAACGAAGCGACTAACGATGAAAATCGATGGAATAATAAACAAGTTGTGAATGGTCAAATAAAAATGTGCAATAATTTTTTGTTTGAAAAAATAGGACCAGGAAATAATGTTACTCATACGCCATAACGTACTCGGCCAAACTAGTACATACTCATACATACATACACATGCAAACGTACATTTGTGGTCCGCTGATTAAGTTAAGTGACATTTTGGCCAGTTTTGGTTATTTTTCTTTTGTCTATTTGTAGTTTATAATTTTTTTTTTTAAAGTTTAGCACATTACATAATCAGCACCACATAAATCCACATTTCAAATTTCTTACAAAATTAAACACACATCAACAATTACACCCAAAAATCGTTAACTTTTTATTAGAAATTAAAACTCCTATTGAAACTCTGGAAAAATACATGCTTACTAATGAAAATAACTTTCTGTTTACTTACAGCGACTTGGTGTCACCGAAACTCACATGAAATGGTAACTTAACGATTTTTCAAATACACTGATAGTGGAAACCAATGTTCACTATTCATCTAATAACAGACACGGAAATAAGTGAGAAAAAGTGTTAACCACAAACGCTATTCTGCCAATAAAGTAATATAACAAAACTATTACAGAAATATCAAATCAATCTTGGACAATTGAAAATTTAGCGAACCATTCACAAAAATAGAAAATATAAGCGAATAAACTAAAAGTGAAAGCCACAGCTAAGTGGCAGCTGAAGAGTGTGTGGTTGAAACTCAGCTGCACAAATGACCATAGGTTATAAATGGCAAGTAATTTTTTATATGTTTGTGTAGTGACAGCTAAATTGGTCAAATATGTGAGAAAAATATATACATGCAACATAGTACACAAGAAGCATACGACATCGAACAATGCATAATTGAATGAAAATAGAGAGCATTGATAAAATAAACATTCAATTGAAAATTGACATTTTCAAAAGTGGTCAATGGAATATTTATAGCGTTCATCCTGTGTGAGTCAAATGGTTATTTGGTGGCTTATAATGGTTACAAAATAATAACATAAAAGTAAATAAGCATGTATTTTGTTGCGCTGCCTGCCAAAGGTGTACATGGCGTATGAGTGACGATTATCGATTTTATATGTAGTTGAAGAAATTTACCAAAATAGTATACGCGTAGTCTACTGAGATGACATTTGCAAGAATAATAAAATTATAGTTTAAAAAACTAAAACCTCCCTATTATAATTGCCATTCGTACTGTCATCAGGTATGTAATTTGAGAATAGAAATCGCTGCATCTTTTAGGCGCATCAATATTACATAGTTACATCCCGAACTAATAAAAGGTACGTAAAAAAAAGTGCAGCGCCGCAACAATTTAAACAGTCTGTTTGCAATTGGAGCGCAGTGTTAGTGCTTAATTTATTTAAAAAAACCGATACAACCAAAGAGGATTGCTGTGTAAGTGCGCTCTGCCTGTAAGCTCGGTTGTGTGCGATTGTGTGGCAAATATTTGCGCATCTGTGGTACCACAAAATATCCACCTAAGCCAACAAAAACAACAACAACAACAACATGAGCTCGCGATTGAGTCCCGCAAAATAGTAAAACCGCTTGCAGTTGGCAGAAGTTTAACGCCCCCAAAAAGGAACTGCAAGCCGGCCAATTGGCTTTTTTGTGGTTTACTGCCACAACACTTGCTCTGCGCCATGCAACATTAGCGCCCATTATTATTGAAATAAAAGGCTTTCAGCGATTGTGTGTTAAGTAATTAAGTACCATAATTCCCTAGTTGTAAATTGCCAATGCGCACGTTAAATGACGGCACGAAATTGTTTTTAGTGCGAGCGAATATTAAGTTTCGAATAGCTATAAGAAAAAATGCAAATAAAGCGATGCAAAATAAAGTTGTGTAAAAACATCAAAGTGGAGGGTAGAAAAAAAGTTTTTATGCAGCGTAAATATTGCATGAGTGCGCAATAAAAATTGTGTGGGCTTCCGCTCAAAAGTGCAACTTTAAAGCTATTGGACCGTCTCCTTGCATGCAAACACTTGTCTAAATATATATATTTTTTTTTTTTCACAAAATAATCTAGCACCAAAATGAAGCCAAGTGCTTAATAAAAATTTTATAACATCGCAAAAATTGCTATAGCGCCAGAAAAGATACATTGATGAGCATATTCGAGTGGTAAAAGTGAGAAAATAATAAAGCTGTGAAAGTACATAGTTGCCGGAAAAGTGCAGAGTGTGCCACAAAATTG